GCTTTTGCGTCTTCGGCCGCGAGGCCGTCCGTATACCTCAGGATACTTGCCCATGCTCCTAAAAGAGTGACCTAAGAGAGAACAACACGGCAGGAAGTTTCTTAAGTAATTCCGTAATTCCGTGTAAGAACTGCTTTTGTCTTTAAGCACGAAGCGCAGAGCTCTTTCGTTTACTTTTCCTAGTTTATCGGATGCGGTTTCGCTGCAGAAATGCCACACAGTAGTCAAAATGGGGGGGCAATAAAAGATTGGAAATGTTTTTCCTTATATCAAGAGCTAGAATGTGATCAAGTGATCATGAAATAAATTGGAAATATAGACTTAAAGCAGCACTGTTTATTTTTCTTCGTAACACACACCAAATTAAATCAATTGCCAATTATACGAAAACATTTATAAGAGCAGTACTCACGAATTCAGCTATCTTGATGTAACAAAGAGGTGATTTGAGAAACCCAGTATCAATATTGATTTCACATCCACCCTGTGCGGCTTGCTGTTGAGGCTGCAGATACTGACCAGGGCCCCCCTGAATATAAACTGGTTGTCCTGGTTGCGCAGGCTGACCAGGAGCACCCGTAACAAACCCCGTTTGTCCCGGTTGCATCTTCTGCCCCTCTTGCGCAGGCTGACCAACCGGAACATCGTAATACTGAATTGGCTGTCCCTGTGGCGTTGTTGCAGGTTGACCAGGAGAAACCTGGATAAAAACCGGCTGACCCGGTTGGGCAGGTTGTCCTGGCTGACCGGGCGCCATCTGGTACATAATTGGTTGACCAGGTACAGCGGTAATCGGCTGTCCAGCTGAAGCTTGTTGTTGTTGAGACAGCACTGGTTGACCAGAGGGGGGTTGGGATTGAGTTTCCTGAACGACCGGAATTAGGGCGGGTTTTTCACTTTCCATCTAGAATGTAAAAAAGAGTGGCTAATTTGTTAATCATAGTATTCACTTTCTAAACGGTGAAGATAGACAATTGTACAAATATACTGAACATAGTTCACAAATTGGTGCTTCAGTGAATCAGTGATCAAGCCCAGTAATCGAGCATGAGGTTCGATAACTGAACTTTCGATATTGACTACCTCTTGTTAAAGCTTATGAGAAATTGCCTCTTGCTTTTTAAAAGCTGGAATAACAGTAGTTTCTTTCTATTATAGTTTGTCAGACGAAAGCAATATACCGTGATTATCCGTAATGAGACAGAACGGAAAATCGTTTTGCAACTTGTATATCGCAGCTGCAAGGAGCCTCCCAGGCAAATGTTCTAGTCATCACGCAATAGTGGGCGAGGAACGCTTGACGAAGCCCCAAGAACGTCTGTTAAGTCCGCGAAAGTTAAGGGAAACCCACTGAAATAAATTATTTTCCTTTTGAATTTCTTTAGCCCGTGTGAGACTTACCATAGCTCCACCTTCAAAAGCCTTAGGAGGTAAAAAGTTGAGAAGCGGTGAGTGAAGGTCAGTAAAGAGGTAATCGAGTGGAAAATACTTACTTTTTAATATCTTAGATTAGCGCTTTGTGCTCTTCCGCAATCTTTAAACTCTTGAACAGTGCAAATTTATACAATGTAAGGAATGCTGTAAACACGCTACACACGATCAATACGAAGGGTACCGTTGGTGACGTGGAAAATTCCTCAACTGGCACAAATCCTCGAACACTTACGAAGGTAAATTATTTTTCGGTTTTCTTTTCTGTTGATTGTGTTAAACAAATAGATTTCATGTTACCGTGCGTCCTTTTCAGTAATATTTCACAGAAGGCATCGGAATGTGGTAAGAACATCAATTACACACTCGCCTGTGGTTAGTGTACCACTTTTTTGTTTTAACCACACTTTGACTTCATCTGTTACCTATTACTATACAGAAGCACGGCAACACGGAATCTGTCTGTAATAAACTTAAAGAACAGTTGAACCTCTGTGTGAAACCACCCTTCGTAAGCGACTATTTAGCTCCCATAAGCGACTGTTGACTATCCAAACACCAAAATCTTCCCAGTCAAATCACTACACCGTTGACTACAGTTGGAAACTGTCGCCGGACGAACACCTCTTCGTAAGCGACCGCGACCACTTTTTGGGGTTACGGTTTTACGGAATTTTCCATTGTTTTAGCCTCTTATAGGCGACCACTTGACGCACGGCTTTCTCTCTATGCTCAACACTCAGAGTATGCGAAGATCTTTTGGTCCTGACTAGTGCAATAGATAAAAACCGACATTGGAAACCAACTAATAAATCAGCAATTGTCGATAATCACTTTTTGACTGATATCGATTCAGTTTGGGTCAATCGATAGAGATCGATAGCAACAACTTAGTTGTCAGCGATAACGAATTAACAATTTTAGCGATATCGTCGTTGATGTCATCTTTCCAGTTCGGATTCCGATCTAAACGCTCTACTGAACTAGCGGTTACATATTTTACGGACAAAATCAGGAAAGAAGTTGACAATGGAAACATCGTGGGTGCTGTTTTTATCGATCTGTCAAAAGCATTTGACACTGTTAGTCATTCATGCCTTCTTAACAAGTTGCCGTCTTATGGAATTAACAATAAGGAGCTTCATTGGTTTACTGATTATTTGTTTTCTCGAACGCAATCAGTCCAATTCAAAGGTGCTTTGTCAGATGCCAATCCCATATTTTCTGGAGTTCCACAAGGAAGTATATTGGGTCCGCTATTGTTTACTATCCATTTTAATGATGTGCATACGCCTCTTCAGTCAACCTCAATCATCACTTATGCGGATGATACAGTAATTTTCACGGCTGCTAAAGATCTGGAATCCATTCAAAGGCATCTCAGTGAAGATTGCCACAACCTGTCTTCTTGGTTTCGTGATAATGAGCTTGTCCTTAATCTAAAAAAGGGCAAAACTGAGTGTATGATCTTTGGTACTGCCAAAAGGCTTAATGCATTGAATGGAAGACAACTAGCCTTGACTGTAAATGGAACACTGATTAATACCACGTCATCGTATAAATACTTGGGTGTAAACTTGGATTCATCCTTAAATCTCGAATCACATTTTGACAAAATGTATAAAAGAGCAGCTGGAAGATTTAATTTACTCAGGAGAATCCGACCTTTAATCGACAAGAGCAGTGCTGAGAAAATCTACAAAGCAATGATTCAACCTGTTTTTACGTACTGTGGAACTTTGGGTCTCTGTTGGTCACATTCCCGTAAGAGTCGAATTGAAAGCATTGAACGTCGAAGTCAGAAAGTCATTGGTGGAAATTATCAAGTCCAGACAGTGGAGAGTTTAATAAAGAGGCAGTCCTGCCAGCTTGTGTTTGATTGTCTTCAGGATAATGTCTGTACCCCTTTTAAAGGATATTTTACAAAAATTGAACACAACATTAACACTAGAAACAATGGGTGTTCACTAAAACTTCCCAAAACCAAATTAGAATTTGGACGGAGAAGTTTTGCCTTTCAAGGGGCTCTAGTTTATAATACTTTACCTCGGCATTTAAGAACTGTAAACTCTAGGTTTCTTTTTAAGAGTAATTTAAAACAATTTTTTCAATAGTATTCCATAATTCATAACTCTTTTCAGTCTTGTAAGTCGATGATTTTTACAGATTTTGATTTTTAAATCTTAGATTTCTTAGTGTTATTTTATTCTATTTTCCTTTTTCGATTTTATTTTTTATTTTTTAGCTAATTGTGAGATAATTACAGGACCCTTTTGATAACAGTTCTTTTTATTAGAACTGATAGGTTATCCTGTATAAATATTCGCGTTATTATTATTATTATTATAGTTCATGATCTTTCATTACCTTCGTGGTTCAAAACCCAATAATGCATTGAACACTGGGCCTCGTTTAAAAAACTTGCGAACAGCTAGCGATTGGGGTTATATTATGTGTTTTTATTTGTTCCTCCGTTTACTTTCGAATTATACTTCTTTGGCTTGTTTAGCTGATCGGTTTTATATAATTAAATAGCCACTGAGCACCTTTTGCCTTCTTCGTCCGCAAAGTCGAAACGCAATTGAAACTGTACCGAATTGGCCTCCTCCCCGGCCTTCTCCTTTTCCCCCAACTTAGATTCGGCAGAAACGTAAATCGACGGGATTTACAGTCCTAGTATTGAGTGTAATTTGTAAAATAAATTTCGCTACAAATTTACCCGTTCAAAGCCGCTGAAACAATGTTCTTACGTTCAGGAAACAACGTTTTTTGCCAATGTAAATCGCCAAAACACATGGAAATTTAAGTGCCGATTAAAGTCGATAATTTCGATAAAAATCAATTAAAATTGATAATCATCGATTAGCAACAATGTTTTCCTCTTTTTATTTTCAATTTAATCAATCAATTTTACCGATAGTTATCGATTATTATCGAGTATCGACTTTATCGATTGTACTGGTCAGATGTAGTAACAACATAGATATATATGTATCGTATCCAAGAAATTGTGTGAAATGAATTCTCTAGCCTGCGTAGCTGGCGGGATTCTTGTGCCCGGGGCACTTTTTTTAGCGGCGGAGCCACCATGTGAAGCGAGCGGCGAAGCCGCGAGGGAAAATCGGACTTCAAATTGACTTGTATACCCACCCTTCTCGCGGCTCCGCCGCGAAAACAATACAGTACATCCACGCTAATCCCGCCAGCTACGCAGGCTATGAATTCTCTTTCAAGAAAAGATGTGTTAGGACCTCTTCTTAGAAGAGACTCCTACGGCTCGATTCTCGAAAGCGACCATTTCCGGCACTGACTCTTTTCACCACACGGTCCCCAAGCGCTTTATGGCTTATCAAATTTACTTGTTCGTCTGTGTTTTTGTTTCGTCATCTTTGAAGGGATTTGTATCAAAGCGGAGACGGCTTCTCTGTTCGAATTAAAAAACCCAATTCAGAGCACAATCCCTTCATGCGCCAGAGAAGCGCAGTGAGTTTCTAAAACAATAGCGGATCACGAAATGACGTCACCTTTAGACTACAGTCAACTTCCGGTAACTCGAACCCTCGATAACTTGAACCTCCCGCTAACTCGAAGCAAATTTTCATTTCCCTTCAGATCATTTTCTATATAATTTTACCCTCGACAACTAGAACTTCCGATAACTCGAACTTTTTTCTATTTCCCTTGAAGGTTCGAATTATCGGCAGTCGACTGTATTTTGTTCTCTTTTAATAACAAATGCAAATGTTTAGTAATGATGACTCCAGTTACACATCGAATAATCCTTGGGATTTTTATCTTAGAAACTCAGCTCTTTAAGATACACTCTTTCAACATTTCGTCACAAGTTTATAAAAAAACACTGATATAAGTTATGTGTAGTTCACATAAATTTGATAAAATTATTACATTTTCTGTTGTATATCTCCATTCAATGTTTCCATTGCGAGTCCGCGTGACTAACTATCTCACTTTACGGTTCGTTTTCGCCACGACGCAAACATTATTAAGTACTAGTTGTTGTTACTTTCGATAAGTGTGCCATGAAATGAAAGGCATTTTTATGCCCATTCTTCCTCTATGTAGCCCGATATTTAGACACTCTCAGTTGGGTAATTAGTCTCAGAAAAAGCATTTTTGAAAACATATCCAACTTCAGATCTAGCGAGCTCCTAAAATGTCATGCCAAAGTTCACATAGCAGGCGTGATACTAATTGTTGTATTTTCTCGGAACTAAAACCGGAAGTTATTAACTCACACAACCCTCCGCCCCTATCACAGGGAGGTCTCCTCAAAGCACACTTATTTACTTAATGAATAAATTTCAGAGTGGAACTTTTTACAGATATGGACAGCGAATCGTGCTAATTAATCGGGTTACCCTAGAAATACTTAGATGACATTTGCATTTCTTGGCTTCTAAAATATCAATAACCGCAAGCCATATCCTCGCTGGCGCACGGCACGTCGCCGAAGGGTGGCCGAAGCCCGTCGCCCGAAGGGCGACCGAGGCACTAAGTGCCGAGTAAAAGAAAGTATTTTATACTGTAAGCCGATCTTGCGAGCCCTCAGTCTCTTGGTTTGCGGTCTATAGAATGTGTAACGAATCTGTAACGCGATCAAAATAACCCATCTTTTCAGAGGTTTTCGACGGGTTTTGATGTTCTAACGACAAACACATCTCCTCTGGACCCTGTGCCCCTATGCTTACTTTGAATTATTATATGCTATTTTGCAAAAGTTGTATGGGTACTGCCTAATTAGATCATAACCTTTACAGCTGCCTTTGCATAGATAAAGAACTCACGATTTTTCGTGATTATATGGGGTTCAGTATAGACGCATTACCGAAAGTCATGCCACTTTTGCGAAATCACTCTCGCCAGGTGCTGCACTACGTATACGTGACGTCTGGTCCGCCTGATCAAAAATGAAAAATAAAAACAAACTCTTATGTAGCAACCGCTGAGAATGATGGAACAGGGAAAACAAAAAAGAGGGCTGCTACTAAGATTTACCTCTGACTCTTAAATAGAGACGGCCGCTTTACTAAATTGTTGAGCTGTTCACGTTCGGAATCCGAACAGTGAGGCAGTTTTCATTATTTCGTAATAAAACAGGATGATATGTGATTGTAATATTATCTGTCTTTTTTCCACGAATTTGCTTAAACACTCTTAAACCCTTTTCCTTCTAACAGACAAAGCACAAACAGTTCTATCAACAACAAATGATCTTCAGTTGAAGCTCAACCTCGTTCCAGGGAGCGATCTCCAAGAACAGAGCCCTGGAAACGAGGTTGAGTTGACGCTCTCGTTACGACATTGAAAGCCCGTTCGAACTCCAAAGTAAACTTGGACAACCGGGACCACTTTTGCGAATCATCCGCTGGTCTTTTGCTCGTTTTATGGTTCCCGCAAGCGACCACCCTCTCCATATCAAAACTCATTGCCCACAAATGAGGACATTTGCTCTTCAGTGATCTTTACATGGGGTCTATGCTACAGTGCGTGCGCAAAGGTATTATGTTTCACCATCACAAATAAACATGGGCGATCGACCGAAGCGATAGCCTGCGAATAGCAGACATATTTCCGGTCGTCGCTTCTCTCCCTGGAACGACCGGAAATGCGTCTGCTGTTCGCGAGCTACCGAAGCGAATGTCATGTTCTCCACGGCGTTTTGTGGAAGAATTCTGTCAGCTCTGCGAAGAAAAGATGGAAAAAGTGGAACGAAAACGCAAAACAGACAGGGATTTATATGAAGTTGAGGTTGTTGAAGCGGGATACGACGCGAAAAAACAGCTAAAAATTCATTTCGTGTGATTCAGTCACGAATACGGGCGAAACGACCTGATACTCACGAATACGATGAGTGGCGTGATTACGATAATGAAAGGAATCACTTTCTCTTCGTTCGCTTGGAAAAAGTGTTTTCCCCGAGGAAGGTTCGCTGGAGGATAGAGACAACATTTTTCACGGGCAATTGTATCGTTGTATCAAGAGAAAGTTGTGGTCCGGCTGAAAAGATGACCCCGAGGTGCGCATAAATGTGGAGCCTTTGAAATAGTATAACTGATTAAAAAGCTGCGGGATTAAATAGAAGAAACGAGGAATTATCCAATATCCGAAAATTTAGAAATCGAACTGTTTGAAAATATAATTAAGCTCCTATTGAAATGTTCATCATCACTTCAAATTACTTGCCTGTCAGTTTCTCGGATAATCTCGAAGGACCGTTCTGCTGGCTGAATTTCTCACCATTTTCGCCTTGGAAATTATCTTCAACTGCGGAAACCGTCACGGTACAAGTGAAGAGGAGAAAGAGAGCAAGATGAACCTTCGAAGTCATTTTGCCCCGCCGAAATCTGCACAAATCCCAACAAATTACATATCTAAACGCCGCAAATTAATTCAACTCTCATTTCGTGAGGAAACCCGTTGGTGGCGCGACAAAAAGTCGGCTGTTTCTCAGGCTATGCCCAGGCCCCTCCACACAGCACGCAGAATAAAACCAGTGAAGGAGAGTTCAATGGCACAGACGACGGAAAGCAGTTTTAGTGCCTTAATATAGTCTTCAATTTAAAACAACTAAACCATTTAGTTTTGGAAAGCAACTGATGCGAAAAAAGGTTTTAACTTTATAGCAAATAGCGTGAAAACCTTTGGTTCTTTTTCCTGGCAGTGACATCATCACGGAGAAACTCATTTAGGGGGAATGAAAAAGAAACCATATTTAATTGTTTTATTATTTTGACTATTTTTTGGTATAATATCTGTAAGATACTAGCACCAAAACGTTTGCAAAGCTTGTGGATTTGGATACCCAAGCGCTTTGTTTCGGAAATTTGGGGTTGGAAAATTCGAGTGGGAAATTATTTCTCTGGCTACTTTAATCCAGTTCCTTTCAAGTATATGTGGTCAAAAATGCGGGGTAAAGCTGGAATGCCTGGCTTGGGAGTTGTTTGTCAGTCTGAATTACTAGATGCATAGGCGTACGGGCAATTTTCGGCCAGGGGGCGGTAGATGTTGAGTGGAATGAGTTTCTTTCCTCAACAGATTTCTTCAAACAGCTGAGAGAAGCAATGGGAAATGACAACAAAACTAATATAGACATGTATGTGACCGACTCGGGGCAATCGAACTTTACAACAGGAGGGATCTCAGGTACCGCAAGACGTAAATCAGCAAAAAACGACTTTGTTTCGGGCTTTTTTGCTGCCTTGCCTTACGATAAAACACTTTTTAACGGTACATTGCAAAACACCTGTTACTGGGATATAAATCATTAATATTATAACTTTTTGTTCAAATGCGTACGCAGGTATTCTTGTCTTTTAAGTCTTTGAAACGAAAAATATGCGTTACTCACTGTCTGATACTTAGTATCATGACCTACCATGCGATAAAGCACTAAATACGTACAGCTATAATACGGCTATCTAGAATGTACCAAAATGAAGCTGGTACGTAGCCTTTTCTTTCTGAGTCGGTTCTTAACGGTGTGGGGTGTAAAAAGGAGGGGGACGTTGTTCCGGATATTGAGCCACATGTTGGCCCGGATGTGCAGACGGTTGAAAGGCTGTCTGTTGCCCTCCCTGTGCCTGTGGGGGCATTATGACCACACCAGGTTGAACGACTGTTTGGCCTGCTGGCACCTGTTGAAGCGGCAATTCTTGCATTCGTTGTTGACGGTACAACTTGTACAGAAAAGTAAGATCCACGATGAATATTATCCAGGAGATGTAGCCCAAACCCTGTTGACAAACGAAATCTGGATTTAAATTGCAAAACATTAACTTCGTCTGTAGAACCTCGACAATTTAATATTCAGATCAGTCGAACAATATGTCATTAATTTTTCCTTGGATTTGGTTGTATTTTTCAGTCATTACGCTATAAAAATAACTCGGGATATCTCAAAGTCCTTTTGTCGAACTTCACATTAGCTCACGCCATCTGGAACTGCAATAACGCTGATCAGTTGCTGCAAACAAAAACGTTTAGATGATACCTGTAAAGATGAGGTTTTTATGACCTCTGCTGTATTGTAAACAACTTATTTTTATATGAGAAAATCTCTTTAACAGCTCTATGCTAACTTAAGGTGACTTCGTAAATTCTGTTCCTGGAGCCGGTAGCAATAAAATTATAAATTTGTGCAGCTATGAGAAAATCTAAAACCATCGATGTTCGACCACCAAATAGACAATTCTGACCTTTGGTGATCATTAGGTGTAAAGTTGTATCGTGTCATTCATCTAGCCATACGAAAAGCAATGGCAAACAAGAATTCTGAACTATTAAGATAATGATGGTGGTAACTATGATAATGATGATGATGATGATGATAATGATGATGATGGTTATTTTGATGATGATGATGACGGTGATAATGACAATGCTAATGTGGAAAAATCTTTTGATTAGGGGGCTCAAACGATGTTTTAGGTATATACTAATTTAGAGTCAAGATGGTATTAATAGTGTTTAACCGGTTACTTACCAGGCCAATAAACAGAGCAAGAACGTACTGCTTCCTATCGGGATACACATTTTTGTAGACCTTTGCAAAGTCCACCACAAGAGGAGTGAGGTTTCCACAGGAAGCAATCAGCAAGATGGCCAGGAAAACGTAAAACAAAAAAACCTACAGAAAGGGAGGATGCGGATCTCGTTGCCGTCGCCGGTAACGTTGTTGTTGCTAAAACTCCTTTTTGACGTACCTTAGACGTACAGTATTGCTCGTATACTTAAGTTCATGGTCTTTGTATGCACGCAATTTATTTCCTCGTGTAAATGGCGTTATGGATTACTAAAATTTACTGCATAAAAGTTTTATTTCTTTAAATTGACGTTACGATATGACCTGATTTATTACAAGTTGCTAGGAATATGATAGGTAAGAATATTCTGATGCTCAATCAGATTCGAGCATTTTTGTCAGTTATTAACTCAAAGCGTTAACACAATACCAATAATTAGAGGAGCATTTCCCGTCCTATATGGGACACTCTTCATAAAGTATAAGTGAGCAACATGAATTAAATTCAATGTAGCTTCGATGAACAATTGTTAAATTTTGACGTTTTTGCCTACCATTTAGTCTATTAGTTTCCTCTCGCTCGAGCTGGCACTGAAAGAAGAAAAGAAAACGCGTTTTAGGAAATTAAAATTGATGTAAATCCTATAACGTACGAATAACAGTTAGAGATTATTAAATGGAGCTTACATGAAGAAGAAAATTAATATTTAAAATGCATAATTATGTTGTCTACGACCACTGGCAGGTTTTCGAGCTTTAGTTTGGAAGAACTGGAACCCTAAATTTAAGTTGGGCCACTTCATTACAGAACAACCCACGCAATAAAAATAAAACGAACTTTCTACAGAAAAACTCTTTAGGCCGCTACTTTCAGCTCACTGGTAAAACTGATCAATTGCGTTAATCAATGTTGGAGCTATCGAATTTAAGTTCAGCTCAAACTCACAGGGGGAGGAACACCCATGTAAAGAAAACAAAGTGATATGCTTTTTATTACCCCAAAAGAGCACCAATCTGGGCGTGGCATGGCACTGGCTTAATTTGATTCCCAGGGGAAACGATATTATAGCCTTGCCTTTAATTTTAAGAATTTTCCTGTATTTCCGATCTTGATCTGCACCAAAACCCGGTTTTCCCTAGCTCGCTGCTGTTTGTCAAAAAAAAGGGTAGCATTGCTATCATTTGTTCTTACTGACCTATAAAAAAAAGTCGCATTAGTTTATTCATTGTTATTAGAGGGGACCGGTTATGAAAGGCGGCAAACATCAACTATATAAAATACCACGGTGCTGCAGTTTATGTTGGAAGCTTGCTGAAGGTACACAATCCTTTGTTTTCTTTTGGCAAATTGTGACGGAATAAATTAATGCAATGTTAATATTGGTCAATACGATCACATTGCTAGGGATGCTATTGAACGTACGTTGTGTACCTTCAGGTCCACAGAAACATTAAGCAAAGGAGTCTGGCGGCCTTCATAACCATTCCACTCCATTCCATTAACTATTGGTTGATTCCATCACAATTATTCCGTGAACAATAAAAGAAAGGTTGTGCACCATCCGGGAACTCACAACATAAACTAGAGTTGTTATCTTTGATTTTTGTACCCTGTACTAAATGTAGCTTGGGCGGAAGCTAAAATAAGCAAACAGGGGTGTTCGTATCAACAAGGGTTAACATACTAAGTATGTCAATCCATATTGATTTGTAATCGTGAAATGAGGCGTAACAATTTGTCAAATTCAAACAGTCCTTTTGTAAAAACCAGCAAAGCAATTGACTGAACAATAGCAATCAATCATTGTTGCGTTTCCTAATTAAGCAGCAAAAGATGGATGCAAAGGCGTTCTTTGTTTCGTCAGTAGCGTTGTATTATAAAAATCGCAATGGAAGCAAATACGGTAAGCTGTGTTTTATTGAACATTCTAGCGAGTATTTATCTACTTGAATCTTTTACCTGAATTCCCATACAAATCCTTTATATTCACGACCATTTTAAATTACGCAATATGAAACTATGATTAAACTCACACACTGAGCTTGGGCCGCCTGTGATCGGAGGTGAACCATCTTTGTATAACGAAGACTTCATTCCTAACTACCCTTCTCGCCTTCCCGGTGGAGTACAACCGAGCTTCGTCGTCCCTATCGAAAAGCTATCGCTTGGTCTGGTCCGGAACGTCTTTATGAAAATAGAACAACCAGAGGTTAAAGTAAGCCGCTTGAGTAACTTTAAACATATATTTTCGTTGTTGAATAAGAAGAGGATCGACGGCGCCCCGGCCTCCCAAGCAACATAATTAAGATTGATTGACATGCTTCGCCTTTCTCAAAGCTTAGAAACTGCAAGTTCGCTAAGTCGGTTTTAAGGATGGTTTTCATGAGTCACTTGAAACTTTCTTGAATCGTTTCAACTTTCCGACTTTAATGAGATGCAAAGTAAAGTATTTTCAGATTTTACTTAAGCCTTTACATGCACACGCATTTTTGGTTAAGTAAAAC